TCTACTACACATTACACGAAAATTGCCATTTTCAGGCCAGGGTGAACGCTTGATCATGAGCAGGCGTCTTGTTATATATATGCACTTTGCATTGTGCTTTTCGCTCGTAAATGTCGAAGATAATGTGACGCTTTGAGTTTGAGCTTTTAGAAGGCAACCTTATAATTGCATTAGCGGCATTTGCGAAAGAATCTTCGAGGAGCGAATATCATGCAAATTCTCTCCTTGATTTCGTTCTGAATCGATGGAGGTATGCTAACAGACTTGCCTCACTTGGGGTTTGAAATGCCAGATTCGTTACTCGTATTATTCATATTTTAGTAACGATTAATTGTTTATATCATTGCTATCCACTTCGCAACTTTAAATAACTCACATCTATATATAGTTACCACATTTTTAGCTTATTGAGGCAGAGAATCTAATGACAGTTGCTATCAGGGCTTGTTTATCGGAGCACACATTTTCTCACAGGGTGCTGGTACAAAGGAATTTTTAAATGGAGAATTATTGCGTGTAATCAGAATGAGTAACAATATAAGGCAACGTTATTCGAATTAGATGTTGGTTTCTATTTTTTTAAACGTGCTTGATATCATGTTTAGCATAAAACTAAAATTTTACAACAATCCAACCCTTACCCTCTAAGAGTACTAGACAACTATATGAAAAAATATCCTAGTTTGATCATTTTGGTCGAAACAATTCATGTGTGCCACAGCCATTAAATTATTGATACAAATCCAAAGCAGACCGATTTCTATATCTCTGCTGGCATACATTTGACAATCATTTTAGTCACAGCATGCTCAAATTTTTTTATACAAATGTTCTCTAAAGTTTTTTCGTTCACTGCAACCAGATATATCAATCATGTTTCGCTTGCTACTCTGGTTTAAATAAATGATTAAAAAGTCCAGTCAAATTGTAATCAAGACCCAACGTTTCGACCCTCCATTCTAGTGTCTTCTTTAGGGGTGATATAAAATTGCAATCGCGGCTTCTTCAATACGCAAAGGATGACGTCACCTGCCAATGAGATGCATATATTCCTCTGGCAAATAGGCACCGTCATCCCTATTCAAAGCATGATTACTCATACTTATATGCCACGCTTCTAGGCAAAGTATTTGACCATAGCGATTGTTTGTGGAATTACTTTAGAGTTTTTCCACTCAATCTCGTATTTGGTGTAACATACATGTTCGGCTAAAGCTGATTTTCCCTTGTCTAAAGTTGAAAGAGCCTTTTGATGTTCTTTTAGCCGTGTACCAAACTGGCGTTTAGACTGACCCATAATACTCTTTCTCGCAGTCACCGCATGGTATAGAATATACAGCATGAGTTTTCTGATTTGTTTCAAAAGGATCTTTTGGCTTTGCGAAAATATGGCCTAAAGTCAAATAGGGTTTTAAGGCAACCTTAGTATTACAATTACTTAAATTATCTTGATTGGTTCTGTGACACCTTGAATGTATGGAACTATTGCATAACCCTTAACAGAGGTATCACCCTCCGAGTTATTTTGGTTCCTACAAACAGGTAATCTCAGGCAATCATTAAGAAAACGTTTTGGGTAATCGTTTCCCCCTAAAACATTTAGAACATGTTCACGTTCATTAGCTCGAGAATCACTGTTTGACAGCAAGGATTGAGCTCTTTGAAGCAAAGTTTTTGCTACGGATCTTTTATGGCTTACTGGGTGATGAGAGCCGTATGACAATTATTTGTCTGTGTGTGGGGGTTTGCGATAAACATCAGTCTCTAACTTTCCTTCGACAGTTCTGTGCAGATTTAAATCTAAAAAAGCTAAATGTCTACTTATCTCACGTTCTACCGTGAATTGGATGGACGGCTCAATAGAATTTAAATGTTGCAGCAGAATATCGATTTCATTTCTTGAAACCGCAGAGATGACATCATCGACGAAACGTTTCCAAAACGATAGAAATACCGGAACAGAGGATAGAGCTCTTTGTTCGACATCTTCTATTACTAAAATAGCAATTACATCCGATACTGGTGACCCCATCGCTGTTCCAAATACCTGTTGGTAATAACAGCCCTCAAACACAAAGTATGTGGTGTTGAGACAAAAGACAGAAGATCATTAATATCTTCTACAGGCAAGGATGTTCTTTGTAACAAAGTGGCATCCTGCCTTAGTCTTTTTGTCGCAACCTTGATGGCAAGATCAACTGGGATGTTTGTAAACAAGGAAACGACATCAAATGATACCAACACTTGATCTGCTTTAAGAGTTTTGCCTCTTACAAATTCTGCAAAGTGACAGGAATTTTTGACAGTGATTTCGGTATTCCCCACTACAGGGGACAAAATCTTTGCCAAAAACCCTGAAACTCTATATGTAGGAGAATTCACGAAAGACACAATAGGTCTCAATGGAGTTTTCGGGTTATGGATTTTCGGTAAACCATAGGAACGCGGAGACAGTACATCACTGCTATATAACTTTTCATGTTGGCCTGACAAAATATGAATGTAATTGTGCTCGAAAATTTTATCGTCGAACCACAGCAATTAAACCCCAATTTCAAAGTCTTTATACAATATATCAAACGGAATATAGACATTTTTAAATTTTTGATTATGCATGGCGGAATTCCACTTGGTCGGTTAATCAAATTCCCACGTGAAAGTTTAAATCTGTTTAATTACTTTTTATACTTTCGCCAAATACACTATCATAATGTAGCCTATACTTTCGACTACATTGATAATATGCGTACATTGTGTGCAAATTTATGGGCAGTATACAGAAGAATATGCACTACTGTACTGTATGTATACTTATACACACTTTCACTCAAGACAAACACTCACTATATATACATGCGCAATTGACTTTGCATTGTCTATTCAGTACGTATGATTTATGTTCAAAAATGCACAAAATGTCCCTATACATGTATATACAGTAGTTTGCTTATGCACAACTGTGACATTAATTATTGCGCATACGTATACTCAATTTGTCCTATATTTCATGCAAGGTGCATATTATATGCCTTCCTCGCTCTTTATTTGCAGTAAATAAATATCAGAGTTTGTTGATCGGTTCACAAATTTTCTCACAGCATGCATTTACATAGGAATTTACGTTGTAACGGAAATTGCTTGTGATCGAAATGACTAGCAATGTAAATTAAGTACGTTATTTGAGTTAGATGGCTCTTGTCTATTGAAATATCACTTGCTTAATGTCCTTTCAGCTTAAATAATCACAGTTTCGAACATTTCAACATTTTAATGTTATAAAAAAATTATACTAAGTTATCCATTACCCACTAATATAGTGCCAGACAAAAACATGTACAAGAAGATTGTAGTTTCATTATTTTGCTGCCACTATCACAGCCATTAACGACTAATAACCAATGAAAAACGGTAAAATGTTAATAGTTCTGCCGCCATGTAATTGACAATCATTACTGGCACACCAACCTCACAGTGACGTTCTTTTGTTGACATGACAATTAAATTTTTAAGATTTCTTCTGGAATTTCAATCAAAACCTCCAACAGCAAATAACAGCATGCTTTAAATAGGATATGTCAAATGGCCCGATTTCTATAAACCTCACACGGTTTATCTCAAATAAATTATTTGTTGCTGCGGGTTACTCGCTACATTCTATATTTTGGCTATATGTAGACATGGCTAATTGCTACTTTATTATGTCACTACATACCACTTATGCTATTTGTCCACGGGACTAAAGGATACTTAGTCTTAGGCAGTATACAGCTACTTGCCTGCGTGACGTTTGGATATCTGGCTACATGACAACAGTACTTAATACTTTGCTATGGTGTTGTAGATTGTGGACATACGTCTCTGTACAAACGATTTACATGTATAAATATAGCATCAAGTGCTGGCTTAGAGCTAAATTGTGACTCTACTATAGACTAATGTTGACAATACTGTGAAAACTCCGATCCATGGCTTACTTAACTTCGGAATGCAAATTGCGCACTTCATTGTTTGTTAACACTTTTGAGGTTATGTTCAGTTAAGTGGATATTAATAATGAAACCAAAATATTACACTTCTTAAAAGCGAAAATAAATATTGAGTCCGGAAGTGAGTTTATTACGTTGGTTATGATATAAACACTGCTCTTGTGTCTTTTAATCTGAAATAAACAAGTGCATATTCGGATTCTTTGTGTACAATTTTTTTGTATGCACCTAGTCTGTTAAAATTGACAGCATTCCGCTTGTTGGTGGTCGCGTGTTGTATCAAAGCAGGCAGTAAAGTCCGTAAAATAAATGTTTTATAAACGTGGCATGTGGGTGTGTAAGAGCTTGTGTAGTTGTGTACAAGAAATGTTAAAATGTCTTAGCTTATTCGCTATTAAATATATTGAAATTCACCAGTCTTGAAACTCTAGACGTCACGTCACGGAGACTTCACAGCCTCTCGCCATGAATGTGTATCGGCATTGATATGATCGCAATAATCATTACATAAGTAAAGGGTTAAAGCCCTCTTTGTACATAGTTATTCCTGGTCGCACAAAAATATAATCCGGCTCGAGGCGGTCGAAGGAATTAAAACTGATATGCACTTCGCTGAGACAGTTATAACAAAGAATGGGTGGTGGCGAACTAGTTTTAGTTCATTATACAGTGGTGGCGGTTTATTTCTTTTCAGCTAACCCATATATATAAAAAAAAAATAAACGTGGTGCTCACAAAGCAAAATCATTATATTAGCCAGTACTGTCAAAGTTCTCAAATATGAAAATAAACACGGCCAAGGCGGAAAGGACCTAGCCTACATATGTAATTATGTGAAACAACATTGACCGGTCTCATGCAAACTTTGCCTTAATTAACATTAAATTCAAGTTCTCACTTCAAATACAGGAAAATAAGAACATACCTGGACCCGGTACAATTGGTGCTTCGCCAGTTGGACTTTCGGTTGAAAACGTTCCGCTTGTTGTATAGATTGTTGTTGGAACGGGAGTTGGCGGAGCGGTAGTTAATTGCCCTTCGCTGGGTACTATCAGCACTCCTATTATGAGGAAATAGAACAAATTTGAGATGACGTCCATTACGGTATTCTCTTATTATCAGCAGCTCACTTGTCAGCTTTATTCGGATTAATTCACATTTAGTACACGGGGAAATTTTAAAAGCCCTCTTGTGAGGTGACACGTCGCCGGACCAATGCGGCTTCAATTAAAAAATTGTGGTTAACCATTGGCTTCACCAATAATTATGGGAACCCCCGCCACGCCCCATTTTCTTAATTTGATTTATTGAATCGACGTTTCGAATAAATTAGAGTCATGGTGATGTCAACAATCTAGTCGAAACGTCCATACACTGTATATTATATTCAATCAATCCAAATGTATTCGGATGTACTGTTCTTTTGAATTTTTTTCTTGTCTACGCAATAGCCATTATAATTCATAACTATCATGATAATTAAAGTGAATATTCAGCCAAGTGAATATTCAGCCAATTAAAATATGTGCTCGGAACGGTACTAATTAAAATATGTGCTATTTTTTGCTCGAAACTATTTGTTCCATCGTGTAACAATAAACTTTTGACATATACTTCTACTACATATAAGTTGTTCTTTTTTGGAACCCCTTTATTAGAGAACTATCTCTGTGTGGAAATTCCAGTAATTTGTAACCATATTACTCAAACTTGTAAAATAAAAAATTTCAATGGTAGGTCTGTTATTGTGAAGGCAATTCTTTGTTTGCAAAATTAAAAAACAACACGCTATAAGACAAACAACATCTACCTCGAATACTCTGCCGTGGAACCGGCAGGCTTGAAAGACAATAAAACATTTTTTAATCTCAACACCGTTATTTGAATGCGAGAAATATAGGGGAAATGAAGAGAAACGCCGAAGACTTTCCATATTCGTTGTATTCGTAACATTTCAAATAGGCAACTGTTTGGTTGCATGCCGGAATTATAATTGCTTGCTATTTGTGGAAAAGTCATGCCGGTTTTGTATTACTTGCTTTCGATCCATATAAGCATTCGCGGATCTTTTCCAGTATTATTGATTACAACACCACAGAAGACCTGACCTGGATCGAAAGCTTCGCTGAGACCGATGTGAAGACACAAAATAACCAATTAAACGATTAATCTATTTTTATAATTCTAATCGGCAACGTTAAGGATCGAAATTGTTGTTTAATACAATGAAATCAAGACCGCCAAATATCTCTAAAGGGCAGAATATAATTAACAAGACGTCTGCTCAGGCGTTCACGCTGGCCTAGACTATTGGATTGTGTTCACAACAATAGACAAGACAAATGTATATCTTATCGTTTGCGTATGCTGATATATTTGCTGAATATTAATGATATATATATGTGTATATTATTTCCTACGAATACAGTCAAAAATTGCTTGTATCTTTCTTCTAAAGTCAAAACTGAAAAATCGAACACCGTCAATCGATGCGGAATATTGCTTAGAATAATTGTATCAAATTTCATTCCGATTGGACAACTAATGACGGAGCCTTAGGGTTTTTCATAAGAGCGTCGGCCCCTAACAACAACAACAACAACGACGACAACGACGGCGACGACGACGACAACGGCGACGACAACGACAACAACAACAACAACAACAATATTAGCAGCGATTGGGGACCAGTTCCTGGTCCAAAAATATGAACCGGGAGACCTATGGTGCAATTCTTTATTACCACGTTTCATCATTAATAGCATGGCAGTCCTGCACATGAGGGTTATATCCCCCATCTTTCCTGCACAAATTTGTTTCTCGTTCATCATTTAATCCCAATCGCAAGCTTATTTTTAAATTGGGTGCAGGTAATACGAGTAAATAACCAACATGAAAATGAGGCCATTGGGTCAAATGTGGATATTAAGGTCTACTAACCTCAACCTCGCAAGCCAGGATTTTTATCACGCTTGAGGCGATGGTCACATGACTCCCAGAAAATTGATTGCCTAACGGGGGAGGAAAAAGTATCATATTACATGCTTCCACTTCCGCACTTTACACATGGATCCCAAGGAGTGAGTGTTCTGTACCGATCATCCAAATACTTGCTAAATTTGATTTTCGTTTGCTCTTGAATTATAAAAAAATATGCCAAACAGATTTTTATAGCAACATCAAGCAATAAAAATGTATGGACATCAAAAATGTATGGACATCGATAATAATGAACATCAAGCAATAAAACTCTCTCTCTCACTCTCTCTCGTATATATACATATATATATATATATATATATATATATACATATATATATATATATATATATATATATATATATATATATATATATATATATATATATA